CCAGACAGGCGGAAGTGAGGGGGAGGATAACCCGGGGAGGGTGCTCCATCAGCTCCGGACATGAAGGAGGGAGGGGAGGAAGCAGCACTTCCGCAGGCCAGAGATGCTCCAGGCCTGCTGTGGGTGTCCATAATGCCCTGTGAGTGGCAGGAGATCCAAGGATGCTGTGGACATGGCTGGTGCTGGGGAAGAGAGCTGGGGCCAGTGGGGATTAGCCACAAGGGTGGCCAGGCTGAAGGAACCCCCAGGGACTGAACAGTGTGGGACACCTGGCAGTAGGGGCGAATGATCAGGGGGACCTGCATGTTCTGATGCTGGCCTGCACCTTCCCTCCTGGACCCTGTGCCCTGGGGACACCAGTACCCATCCCCTGCGGGTGACACAGCCTGCTGCATCCCTCTGTAACCCCAGCCACAACATAGATGCTCCTAATGGGGCAAAGCCCCAGTGCTGGGGGGTTGGGAGTGGTGGCATGGAGGAACTTTCAATGACAGGGGAGGAGCAAGGTCCAGAACAAACAGGTGTCAGGTTCCTGTCACCTCATGTGCCAGTACCGCCTGGGCACCTCCATCTCCTCCCCACTGCCTTTCCATGGGCCTGCAGCCTTCAGTAGTGTCCCGTCCCCTGGCACAAGCCCGGATCTCCAGCCCTGAGCAGGGACCCCCGGCAGCAGTCCCTTTTCCATACCCCATCCTACAGCATCACTGAGACCTGTCTGTCCTCTTGCTCTCCCTGGGATGGCTCAGCTGATGGCTATCTCTTGGACCCCTAGTGCCAGATCCCCCCCAGCTGCTGGTCACTCTCCCCTATAAGGGCTGGGGCAGCACGCATGGCACCGAGCTGACCTCATGCCTTTGTGATCTCTCTGGTGTTGACTATAATAGGGAATGGGAGGAAGAGCCCCTGGCCCCCTGCCAGCCCTCTGCTGCCTGCCAGGAACACAGGACAATCTGCTGTCTTCCCACCAGGCCATGCTGGACTAAGGGACAGCTTGGGGGGACATCACCACGGAGGGACAGGGCTTCCTCCAGAACCCCCTAGCCTCCCCTCTCTGTCTACAGGCTGCAAGAAGAGATCCAGCTGAAGGAGGAGGCTGAGAACAACCTCGCTGCATTCAGAGCTGTGAGTACCTGTCCCCTTCATGTGGTGTGAGACCCCTGCCTCCCTTCCCACTTCCATCTCCCCCCGGTAGCCTGGCCCCAGCACCATGGCATGGTCCCAGACACAGCTTTGCACCTTCCAGCCCTGGTGCTCTCCCAGCAACCCCCCACTACCACTCACTCTGTGTCCCCCCCAGGATGTGGATGCAGCCACACTGGCACGCATCGACCTGGAAAGACGTATCGAGTCCCTACAGGAGGAGATCGCCTTCCTCAAGAAGGTGCACGAAGAGGTTGGTTGGAGTGCCCCCTTTCCCAGTGGCACCTGTGGGGCAGGGAGGGTGGAGTGGGTGCCCTGAGATGTCACCTTGCCCACCCAGGAAATCCGGGAGCTGCAGGCACAGCTGCAGGAGCAGCACATTCAGGTGGAGATGGACATCTCCAAGCCCGACTTGACGGCTGCGCTGCGGGACATCCGTGCTCAGTATGAGAGCATTGCTGCCAAGAACATTGCTGAGGCCGAGGAGTGGTACAAGTCCAAGGTACAGGGGGTGGTGGGCTCCAGGCTGGCTCCAGTGCAGTGGGTCTCGGCCATCTTGGTGGCCATGCCCACTGACCCTGGTCTCTCCTCAGGTGAACGACCTGACACAGGCAGCCAACAAGAACAATGATGCACTGCGGCAAGCAAAACAGGAGATGCTGGAGTACCGGCACCAGATCCAGTCCTACACCTGCGAGATTGATGCCCTCAAGGGCACGGTGAGCTGAGGGCAGCACTGGGGAGACCCCCAGCTTTCCTGCAGGGACCTGCTGCTCCAGGGCTGCTCAGGGACCTCTGGGACATCTCTGGGGTGGAGGGCTCTTTCCAGCTCTCTGAGTTGCTGCCATGAGGGAACTTGTACCCCACATGTGGGCTGTGCCTCCCCCAACAGTGGCCTGGCTCCTGCGAGGTGTTTTGACAGAGTCCTGGGATCAAGGCACAGATTGTAAAAGGTGATCCAGACTGGGAGGCTCCAGGCAGGCGGGCGCAGGGCTCAGGGTGTCTGGTTGCAGGCTGGGAAGGTGGTTGCAAACAAACAGTACACAACAGTTCCATTCCGACACAGTCATACTCAAAGAAGCCAGCCAGCAGCCACCAGTGTGTCAGTGCCAACCCCAGGCAGCTATCCAGTGCTCCTGTAGCTCTCCTTGCCCTCCTGCTGGGGTAGGATGGCTTTGCTGAGGAGCCTGGACACCAGGGTGCTAGGGTTGCCCAGGATATGCCCAGCTTGCCCTGCCAGATCCTGCTGGTCAGCACTGGGCTGATGGAGGATGACAGTCACTCATCATGGTCCCACATCAGCTGGATCCAGCCCAGGGCTGACCACAGCTCTCCCCAGGACTCCCTGTCATCCCCAGATCCCACCCCAAGTGACTCCTGGCTCCTCTGGGTTCTGTCCCTTATTGAGACCTGTGTCTCTCCAGAACGACTCGCTGATGCGCCAGATGAGGGAGATGGAGGAGCGCTTTGCGGGGGAGGCCGGTGGGTACCAGGACACTATTGCCCGCCTGGAGGAGGAGATTCGGCACCTGAAGGATGAGATGGCCCGGCATCTGCGTGAGTACCAGGACCTGCTCAATGTCAAGATGGCCTTGGATGTAGAGATCGCCACATACCGCAAGCTGCTGGAGGGCGAGGAGAACCGGTGAGTGGCAGGGGTGCAGGACAGGCTGGGGAGACCAGCAGGGTCAGCTGTTTTTTGGGGCTCCAACCTCGTGAGCAGCCACCTGAGGGCTAGAGCTACCTGGCACTAAGCTTCCCCTCTGTGTCCCCGCAGGATCAGCATTCCCATGCACCAGACCTTCGCCTCTGCACTGAATTTCCGAGGTGAGCATCACCCCATGAGTCTTCCAGGGTCCCCAGTTTGGGGGCAAAGCTCCCTCCTGAGGGGCTGCAGCCAAGCTGGCAAGTTGGGGACCCACAGCTGCCACATGGAGTTCCTGATGTGGGGGCACTTGTTTGGGTGTTGCCATGAGCTGAGAGAGGGGTTGAACCAGGGCTGCTGAAGCCCCCCAGCAGCCCCAGCCCCACTGCTGTGCCCCCATGCCACATATCCTGTGGTCCTATCCTGTGTCCTCCTCCCTGCAGAGACCAGCCCAGAGCAGCGGGGCTCTGAAGTGCACACCAAAAAGACCGTGATGATCAAAACCATCGAAACCCGTGATGGGGAGGTGAGCACAGGGTGACACCCTTGGGTGCCACCCAACGGTGGTGGGGAGACAGGGGGCCAAGCATGACACCTGTTCCTGCACTCTGGGCTCTAGTGTGGCACGGCGACTCACAGTGCCTCTCTCCCACAGGTGGTGAGTGAGGCGACCCAGCAGCAGCATGAAGTGCTGTAGAGGAGGTTGCTCCAGCAGCCCACTGGCACCTTCTGTCCCTGCCTCCGTCCTGCCGCCATGCCTCCCTCCTGCCCCCCTGCCTCGCCCCTCAGTGATCCCCTGGCACTGCCTGAGGGGTTTCCCCTTGCAGCTGCCTCTGGGCCCCCCACACCCCCTGGGCTCTCTCCTTTGGCTTCGAAAGGCTTGGTCTGCTTTCGCAGCTTCACAGCAGCCACACCAGTGTCAGGATCAGGCCAGGGCCGGGGGGGGGTGGGGCGGCAGGAGGGAGGGGAGAGGCAGGAGGGGCTGGGGGGAGCAGGTGGTGGCCTGGACTAGCTCCATGGAGAGCCGGACGGTCCCAGCAGCGGGTTCTGGATCCCCCCACAGGCCCCTCCCACACCGGGCACAGGCTTGGGGTTCACTCCATAGGATTGGGGACCCGTCCCCCTGTGCCAACACTGCCATCCCCCTGGAGCTGGCGCTTCTCCAGGTGCATAGTGGCGATGCCAGGGATGGGGACAAGCTGGTCTGGGCTGAGCCCCTTGTTCTCTGCCCGGCTCAGAGTAAGGGGGCTCCCAACTTGCATGTCCCCCCCAGCCCAGGGGGGCTGGGGCCCTTCACTCCCCCCAGCCAAGATAAAGGCCTGTGGGGCAGAGGAGGGCAGTGCCCGCCCCCCACCATGGCGGGGACCCCCAGCAGCCAGAGGCTGCACGGGTCTGGGCTCGTGAGCCGAGAGGGTACCCGTAGGTGGACATAGAAGAGATGAGGAGTGAGTGAATGGGAGAGAGGGGGGAGAGAATGGGAGGAGCCAGAGAGAGGCCCGGGGGGCCAGGGCAGGCATCCCCACCCCTCACCCCAATGCACCCCCACCCCACCACATCTATGTGACTCTTCAGGCGGCCAAAATAAACAGCGGAGCATCACCCTGTCCTCTCAGTGCATCTCTGGGGCAGAGATAGGGTGGGTGGTGGGGAGGCAGCACGTGGGGGGGGCCATCACAAGGGCCAGGTGGATGGAGGGGCCAGCAATTCCCTGGGCTGCTCTTCCCTGGCTGCTGGGTCCCCCAAAAGCTGTGGGCCCTCACACTGAAGGTGTCCCAGAGCATTTTGTTGCCTGTGGTGGTGCATTTCCCAGTTGCGCTGGGTGGGGGAGCCCTGCTGGGACAGGGGGCAGTAACAGTCAAGCCCTGATCAGGTTTAGAGGGGCTCTCGGTGATGGTGCCATGTCCCCCACACACACCCAGGGCCACACACCATGTCCTGGTGGCCCTTAGCTCTACAGCCACCTCCTTTTTGCCTTCATCTGGGACAGCCCTGCCCAAATCCACACCTGCCTGGGGCTTTTCACAGCCCTGCCCACTGTCACTGACCTGCAAAAAGCCCCCCTCATCCCAAATCGAACTCCTTCCTGGTACCCTGTGAACATCAGACCCACCACCCTATGCTTGCATTCCAGGCTCAGCCTGCAGCCTCAACCTGCCAGTACCTTCCTCCCAATGTATGTGCCGTGCTCCCTGTGGTCAGAATGTGGGGGTTTTGGCTTTGCGTCCTTCACCTCAGTGATGGGGGATGCTGCAGGGGAACCCAGGGTCAAGCATCCCATGGGAGAGAGCAATTCAGGGTTGTTCTGCCCCAGGAGGTGCTGAAGGGTTCACACTCCTCTGCTAGGAAGCAGATCCCAGGGAGGGCAGTGGGCCTGGCAGGGAGTGATGTTTTAGGACAAGGCATGTGCCACTACCAGCAGGGCTGAGGGGTCCCTGACGGAGAGGCCAGTGTGTCAAACCCCAGTTAGGGGGTGTTGGATTTCAAGGTCTGTCTCCAGCAGGTGGCCCTGTGACATCGAAGACAGTCCCCAGGCTGGATGGGGAGGGATGACACCTCCCTCCCCGCTGGCCCAGACTAGCTGTGACAGAGCTCAGCCCCTGGGGACAGGCAGGGGACAGAGCATTTCTTTTCCTTCCTCCAGGCCTCTCCCGGGCTTCTTCTCCAGTCCCAAAGACCCTGGGGTTGGCTCAGCCACTCTGCAGTGAGGATGTGGGTCTAGCAAGGCATCCCACTCTGTTGTGGGATAGTCCCCAGCTATCCAAGTTGGGAGATCCTGGGGTCTTCTCACTGGTGATGCTCCACTGATGCTGGCACCTTTGGGCTGGTGGCAGTGGGCTGTGCCAAAGAGATCAGGGCTGGCCTGCAGCTGGGAAGCACCGTGCCATGTCGCTGGCATCCTGCTCACCCAGATTTACAGCCCCTGGCGAGGGTGGCTGGGGCCAGGTGCCATCACACCAGAGATGGGGAAGCCCTGCCTTGCCCGCGGGTGGCCAGGCAGCATCTGTTACGGACAGTCCTGGCTGCTTGCTGCCTGGAGCACAGCATGTGGGAGCTCTAATGGGGTGCCCCAAAAACCAAATGGTGGGGTGTTCCTGCTCCAAGCAGGGCTGGCCAGGACTCTGGTTACCCTTAGGCAGTGAGGCAGGGGCTTGGTGAGGGAAATAGAGTCTTGTTGTGTTTGCAGCCCCCTGGGAGGATGGATTTGGGGTCATCAGGGATGCTGGGATCCCCGCCTCTGCTACCTGCTGGGAATGGGACGAAGGGGCCCCTCAGGCTGGCTCCTGCCTGGGGTCTCGCGTTGCAGGAAGTATGATGGTGTCCTTTCCCTCCACATGCCGCCAGGGTCTCTCTCTGCCCTGATCCAATGACACTGCCGGAGAAGGGGAAGAGGGGGAGGTCGGCTAGGTTCCCCACGAGCCTCTCTGCTAATATGGAAAGGTGCTGGCCCTTTTCTATCTTTGCAAGCGGAGCTGAGCTGCAGGCCCAGGGTGGCAGGCGCGGAGAAGGGGAGCCTAGCCAAGGAATGTGACATATCAGAGGCAGCTGCCACTTCAGGAGAGGGGGCAGAGAGAGCACAGCTCGCCGGGGGCCGTTCGGGACTGGACGGGACGGGACGGGTGAGGGGGGGGACGCCACGGCCCCAGCACTGGGACGGCTCAGCGAGCGGCCGGCACCGTGGGACTCATACCCAGGCTGGCAAGGAGCAGGTGCCGAGGTGCTGGGCGGGCTTGGGGTCGCAGCGGAGCATGGGGTGTGAGTGCCACGCTGCATTGGGTGCTCGGTGAGCGGCGGCTGGGCAAGCAGGAACCCGACCCCCGGCCTAAATATAGCCCCTTGCTTGCCCACAGCACTTCGACCTTCGGGGCTGCAGGCTGTGGGGGGGAGACGCTGAACTAGACAGCATCAGGACCGGGGGGCTGCTACTGCCCTGGTGCCCCTGGCAGGCACCCAACACCCCCAGACTGCAGGCAGGGGGAGAAGAGGGGCACAACGTGCTGGCTTGGGGTGACAGGAGTCACAGGTGGGGGGGAGGGAGCTGCAGACCATGCACCGAGCACAGGGACGTGGTGGCACGAGTAGGGATGGTGGAGAGCCCCGTGCAGCCCCGCCGAGCCCCGGCATCCCCCCAAAGCGTGCCAAGGTCACAGTGGAACCGGGAGTGCCCGAGGAGGGCCCGGTTCGCCTGGCGGCACCGTGTTTTGTGCGGAAACTGAAGAACGCTGCAATCGGCACTGGCTGTGACATCCGGCTGCGGGTGGTGGTGGTGGGCAATCCCCGGCCCAGCCTCCGCTGGTACCGAAACCAAGAGCAGCTACCCCAGGGCGGGGAGGAGTATGGCACCCTCTGGATCCGAGACAGCAAGAAGGAGGACGCCGGCGTGTACACATGCGTCGCTGAAAATGAGCGGGGAGAAGCCATGACCAGTGCTGTGCTGGCCATCATTGACATGGAAGGTAAGGGTGGCGTGGCTGCCAGCACGGGTGTGCTGGCACAGATGGGGGCACAGGTTTGCTGAGGGTGGCAGAGGTGCTTTGCAAGCTCTTGATTCAGAGTGCACCCTGGGGCCAGACAGGGCTGCTGAGCTTTGCTGTTTTCACCCTGCTGCAGGCTGGGGTGCCCAGTGCCGGCAGCACCGGGGTGGCTCTCCAGCCTGGAGCAAGCATGTGGCTGCAGTACTCACTGCCAGGCAAGGCTGGGTGCCAGGGCTGGGCACAGAGGTGTCGGGAGCATGTGATGCCAAGCCTGCTTAGGGCAGGAGGAGAGAGAGACAGAGAGAGATAGGTATGGGGGTCGGGCGCACGGCATTGGTGGTACCACCCACCACAGCTACCAACACGGTCCCCAATACACCCTGAGCACCAGCTGTCCGTGGGCAGAACTTCTGTGGTATCACCATCACAGCTTTACCAGGCACAGGAGCTGCACTGGGAAAACAGGGACCCCGGTGGGGCTGGGTGGAGGAACACAACATGGTAAGAGGCAGGGCTGACAAGTAGGTGGAGCCTGTGCCCTGCAGTGGGCGGGACCTAGTGGTTAATTAGCCAAGGAAAATTAAACAGCATTTGCTGGTCCCTGTGGCATCTCCTCTGCTCATCACCATGACCCCTGAGTGCAGCAGCCAGACAGGGAGTGGGCCTCATCCTGTACAGGGGCGAGGTAGGTTTGGGGCTCAGCCCACTCTGCCCCATCATCATGGAATCATGTCATAGAATCGTTTGTGTCAGAAAAGACCTCTAAGATCATTGAGTCCAACTGTTAACCCATCACTGTCAAGTCCATCATCAAACCATGTCCCCAAGTGACACAACTGCATGTCTTCTAAATACCTCTGGGGATGGTGACTCCACCACTTCCCTGGGCATCCTGTTCCAGTACTAAATCTTCCCTGGCACAAATGGAGGCCATTTCCCCATGGAGGATGGATGCAACCTGCTTGAGACATTGAAGTGTTGGGAAATGTGGAGGCTGGTGGCACTGCTCTGAAATGTGAGCTGAGCTGCCTGCATGGGGACAATGAGGGCATGGAGTGAGGAAAGCAACGCTGAGCCCTGAGATTCCAGGGAAGGAGCTGCAGCACAGGAGGCACACCAGAGATGTTGCCCCTTGAGGGGGGACTGGATGGCAGTGGCAGGTCAGAAGGAATGCTGGCAGTGCTGAAGAGGAGCACTGGAGGAATAGGAGGTATTGTGCTCTGAGAGCCAGGAGTCCGGAAAAGTGGTGTTTGGAGGATGGAAGAAGATGTATGTGCTGCTCACGAGCCTGGTGGGATAACAGGAGGATTGGAGAAGCATGCAAGAGGGGTCCTGCCCTGCAGTGGATCTGCAGAGAGTGACTGTACATCACACCTTTGGGAATGGTGTCACTGTGCAGTCGGATGTGTGGTGCGATGTGTGCAGAATGGGAGACAGGCACTGTCCCAGGGGTGGGGCAGCAGGGCATCGCCCTGTTCTCACACTCTGGTGTGCAGCTGCACCTTACCATGGCCACACCACCCTGGGCCTCACTGCCTCTGCCCAGCAGCATGGCCCAGTCTGATTTCCCCAGGTGCCCGTTCCCGTTGTGCTGACGCACTCGTCCCTGCTCCCAATTCCCAGCTGCTGGCCCTCACCACCGCCTTTCTGGGACAGCTGAGGGAGGGACCAAGCAGCCAGGATTGCCTAACGTGCAGTGTGAATGTCACCCTGCTATGGGCACTCCTCCCAG